GTTTTCCATGCTTCCCTCTTGGGACAGTACTGTTCTGTTGCCCATGCTACTGCACACCATCAGCCCTGAATGTTTCTTACTATCCAGTGTGAAATGGGAAGGTCAAGCAAGTCCTGGGGTTTGCACCAGACATGCCGCAGGAACTCACACAATTGGCGGATGCCCAGTACGATGACTTGGTTTAAATTAAGCAGCTCAGTGGTTTTCAGGAGACATAAATGTGGAATGTTTCTGCCTCTTCAGCAAGTGTCAGGACCCCTTACTCGCCTGGGCTCACAGGCTCTACAGACCCTGCAGTGGTAATGCAGGGCTCTGGTGTTAAATCTGTCCTCTCACCTGAAGGCTGCTGTTCCTTAGGCAGCCAGTGTTAAACAAATGACATGCTGTCTAGAGAGAAGAGTATTTAAATTACACTTCCGAACTCTGGTTGCCAAAAGGAAGCCCTCTGGGGTATAATATATATATTTGACATGCATTTGCAGTGTGTAATTGGAACCATGAGAAAGGGTTTTGTTCAAAGCTATTGAACAGTTTCCTTATTTTAAACCTGTTGAATCTAGAAAGGGCTGTTTCTAGATTTTTCTGTGAAAGTGACTTTATATAAAAGTTTTGGGCAAAAAGTTTTTTGTTCCGGTGGGGCTGTCACCTCCTACCCTCATAGTGCCTGTGTGGCCACTGAGGTTCAGTTGTCCTTGTCTTCTGGGTCCCTGAATGTCAGAGCTGGGAGCCTAGGGCCTCCTTTTCACATGGCAGAGGCTGGACACAACCCAGGAAATCAGATGCATCAGGGCCCTGTTCAGGAGGGGCAGAAGCAGGCTGACTTGTCTTCTCATGCCAGGTTGTAGCTCTCACTAAGTTAGGATGAATGAGAGGTAGCAGGCCGTTTCCTTGTTTCTTGGTACAGAATCTGTCATTCTCCTTTTTCCCCTGAGCTGTGCAAATCTGTTCATTTCCAGAGATCCACAGGCAGAGCTTCTGGCCCTTGCTTGGCCAGCCTCTGCCTGTTAGTGAGACTTTGCAGGTTGACTGCAGCCATCTGCTCACCTGCACTGTGTGTTGGCTCTTTGTGCTTGCTGTGGGTTTATGTAGGGTCCTCAGGTTTGTCAGAAGAATGGCAGGATGGAGACTCTGAAGTCTGTGCTGTGAGCCAGGGTAGAAGGAGGCTGGTTGGGTCTTTGCAATATCAGTAGACAAGGCAGACTGTGGGGTCTCAGTGGGCACTGTGCTGTTCTTCTTTGACTTAGCACTGAGGAAATATACAGGAGGATGTGGGAAGCCAGCATCTTTGTGACATTGGAAAGACAGGCAGCTCCCCAGGACACAGCAGGAGAATAGGCAAGGTGTGTGTGTGCACCTGCAGCCTGTGGTTCATGAAGCCTCTCATGAACTGACCTTCCTTGAGACAGAGGCATAGGCTGAGTGGGTGAACCCTTTAGGTTACCTCCCATGCAGTTAGCTCTCTCTGCAGTGAGCCAGTTGGGCCTGAGAGGTCTGAGTGTTAGGATGGTGCTGTCAGCTCTCCCTACAAGTCTGAATGCTGGGACGTTGCTGTCAGTGGATGAAGACCTGTCATCTGAGTGCTTGTGGCTGGTTTGTGTCACTAGCCAGTGAAAAGGGTGCTTTTAAAAACCATCTCTCTTTAAGTTGGGGCAGAAATCTGGGCTCTCTGGCCAGGATTGGGCTCTAGCTCTCCAGTGTGCAGGGTATGAGATGTCTACCTGGTGGGGCTGCCCCCAGTGTACCAAGCAGTTTTCTTGTGTGGAGCTGAGTGAGGGGAGGTGTGAAGTGGATCTCGTGAGTGCTGACACTGCACTCATAGTTGTCTGCTTGGAAATTGATTTTGTCCTGCGGAGTGACAAATTGACACTTGGAGAGAGCATCTGGATCCCCTGAGGCCAGAGGCTTGCTGGCTGTCCTTGCCCAGAGAATCTGGGCCGCTGTACCCACATGAGCCCTAGGGAGTCTGGCTGGCAGCGACACCACACTCATGGATGCTTCCCTTCCATAGGTGCCACAGCCAATTATCCTGATGTTGTTTGGCCCCAGTGGGCAGCCCTATTAGCACAGAAGTGGATTTGAGCCATGCTAGCAAATTGGGAGTGATTCCAGATCAACCGGGAGTGTTCTAGCTAGAACAGCTGAGGATATTTTAAGCATTGCAGGTTTGGTTTAGTTTAAGTTGAGATAATTGTAGGGGTAGCTACCTAATCTACAGCAGTGCTCTTGTTAGGTTTTCATTTCAACATGGGTTCCAGGGGCCTGGTGGTAAGCTCCATGTTCAAAAGAGGAACATTAGGCACTTAGAAAAGCGGTGGACAGACTTTCAGATAACTGGGCTCAGTTTCTGGTCTGTAGGCTCACGGCAGCCTACCACTCTGGAGAGTTGGCCTGATGGTGCCAGCTCCTCCTTGGGGTGGGGAGAGGACATAGCAGGGGGCAGGGTTAGCTCTGGGATGTGTTCTGCGAGGCTTGTGGGCAGCTGGGTAGAGTCCTGTGGCTCTTGAGAAGGAGATAGTGGGAGCCCTGCACCGTGCCTGAGGATGGCATGGCTGCCAGCAAGAGCAGCTGCTTGGGGAGATGGGACAGGCTCCATCTTGGGTGTCCAGGAACTGCAGTGTGTCCCAAGTGGGGTGTCCTATTGCTGCTGTGTTCAGGAAATGAGACTTGGCAGAGGAGTGTCCCTGACTGGGGTCTTTAACAGTATGTAGGGTGACCTTGGAAGGTGAGGGGACCGACACACCCTGTTGTTCCCTCAAGATCCTTGTGTGCAGACCCCTTGCCCGATTGTCCTGTGTGCACACCTGCCATGGGGCGTGTCACCTGATGGAAGTGGATATTACCAATATCACAGTAACTGTGAGTTTTAATTTCAGAGTAAGTTCATTTTGTGTAGTTTTAGGTAAGTTTATAAATAAACATTTTACAATCTTATTAAAGCACTATGTGTTTTTAAAACTATATGGAATCCATATCCATTTTTTCGTTGCTATTTATATAGAATAGACGATTCCTAGGAGCAAAAAGGCAGAGGCACATTTGAATATAACATTCACAATCTTGCAGTTGTTTCTGTGATTTTTTTCACTAGTCTATTTCTGCATGTGATTTTTTAGTGGATAATTGTGTGCTGACAGTTGAACATGCAAACGAATGGTGTCCCGAGTGTTCACACTGATTGCTGCTGCCCAGTCTGCAGCAGGTAACAGGGCCGTGCTGCTGGGTGGGTAAGTGTGGAGTGTGGAGTGGAGTGTCCTGAGAGCAACGTCTGCACAGTTTTGGTGGGTGGACCATTCTGGAAGCAGGCTGGCTCTTCTCATCCTGCTCTTGGAGTGGCCCTGCACGTCCCATCTCCTCCCCCACTGGCTTTTGAGCTACACCCTCTGATCTCTGTATCAGCTTTGATCTCTCACCCTGAGGAGTCCTGGGTGACCTGCACAGGCCTCACTCCATTTTGTGTGCCCACGAGCCCTGTGGCTGTCGTCTGCAGCTGGCACTTGGCCAGCAAGGGCAGCCCTTGAATCCACATTGTGCTCCACATTGTGCTGGAGCCTGTTGCTGTATTGTGGGACATGTCGCTGAGGACACTGCTGGAGCTGTGCCAACATCAGTACGCTTGATGGCCTCTTTGGTGCTACTGCCTATTGTCTGTCAAAAGCCTCCGATGTGGTGTCTTAGGGTCACATGCTGACTGGTGGCAGTGATTCCACTGAGGTGGCTTCTGTACTTGAAGCAGGAAACGCCATCTCCAGCTCCTCCATACACTTTTGTTCTTAATTTTTATGTCACTGGTGTGAGCTGTTTAGTGTTCTTTGAACTTTTAGCATGGTTTTTTGGAAAATTCCATTTGGTAGGACTGTTTAAAAATCAGTACTCAGCCAGGTGCCGGTGGCTCACACTTGTAATCCTAGCTACACAGGAGGCAGAGATCAGGAGGATTGTGGTTCAAAGCCAGTTTGGGCAAATAGTTTGTGAGACACTATCTTGAAAAACCCCTTCACAAAAAAGGGCTGGTGGAGTGGCTGAAGGTGTAGGCCCTGAGTTCAAGCCCCAGTGCTGAAAAAAAAAAAAATCCGTATCTTATGTTTGAATTGCAGAATAAAAATTTTTCTTAAGCTTTTTTTTCCTGTTACATTTTCTTATAGTCACCTTAAGAGGCTTTTAAAAATTAGTAACTGGTTCACTTATACAACTAGTTATATTCCCTGAAATATTTTAATAAGTGTAATATATATTATGTTTGAAGTGATGTACATGTCTATAATAAACCAGCCCTTCCAAAGTACTAGAAATATATGAACCTAATAAACTGAACAGATAAATACAATAAACTTTTAAATGTTCCCTGACTCTCACCACATCTTAAATTCTCCCTCCTGCATCACCAAGCACATGTGTGACATCAGTTACTTGGCTGTTTCCATTGGAATCAGAAGAGGGATCCATGTGTACTCCCCCCTTGGCTGCTACAGACACTTCAGGTGATAAATTGTAGGTGCTTCTGAGTCATCACAGGGCCACTGAGGGCTGACTCTGAGGACTGACGCCAAGGGCTCAGTGTTAGCCCTCAGTGTCAGCTCAGTTCTTTGAGACAGGGTCTTCCTAACTTTTTGCTTGAGCTGGCCTTGAACTATGAACCTCCTGTTTGCACCTGTGAAGTACCTGGGATTATAGGTGTGAGCCACCACGCCTGGCAAGTACTGTCATTTCTTTGTGTGATTTTTTTTTTGGGAACTTATATATTTATGTATATTTGGGTTTGAACTCAGGACTTTATGCTGCTGGGCAGGCACTCTACTGCTTGAGCCACACCTCCAACCCCTTGGGGAACTCTTAAAATACTTTTCTACCTGCTATGAGTTGGTGAATATTTTTTTTTTCTCTTCAGGTGTTTGTTTTCTGACCAGGTTGTAACTCTCATGGAACCACTCACACTGTCCCTCTGTCTGTGCTCCTGCCATGTAGCCTCCTGTCAGCTGCTCACTATCTTTGTCTCCTGCCAGTGGTCACTGTGATCCTGAAGGCATTGATCTACGATGAGAAGCGGGGTGCCTGCAGTGTGGGTGCCAATGTGAGGGATGCTGCCTGCTACGTGTGCTGGGCCTTTGCACGTGCCTACGAGCCGCAGGAGCTGAAACCCTTTGTGACCACCATTTCCAGGTAAAGTTTGTTAGTTGTCCCCATGGCACTGCACGTGGCATATCTCCTGTGAGAGGTGCACAGAACATTTGTGTTTTGCTCTATGACGTGAAGCAGCCCCAGAACAGCATCCTCCTGTGGGCAGGTGCTTCCAGCCAGGTGTCCAGAGGGACAATCGTGGAGGGTTGGGCTGTGGCTGGCAAGTCCTCGGGTGAGGCACTTGGCACCTTAAAGCCATGTGGTGGAAATATGGGGCAGGAGTGGTGCAGGGGCAGCCCAGAGAGTCGTGAAAACTCAGTGTCTGCTGTTGACAAGGCTGGTCTCTGTTTGGCCCTGACTTCCTGATTTTTGTAGACTGTGCACTCACTGACAGCATTCCCATATGCACTTCACCTGCATCCAGCAACATGAAATGTACACAGCTCTGTGAGGAAGGGAAGTGTCCTGGGGAAAGAAGCCCAACCAGCAGGTTGCTATGGTCACCAGAGCTACCTCCTTTGTCCAGCAGTGGGGCGGGGGAGGCTCCTGACTGGGCTCAGTGGGTCCCAGAGCCCCACAGTGGCTGGTGCCATTGCTTTCCTGCCTGACTTGGTTTGCTTGGAAAGATGCAAAATATCTGTGTCCTTGATGCAGCAGCCTCCTAGGTTGACTCTGTACTGGTCTGATACTCTGCTTGGGCCAAGGTTGAAGATGCCAGTGCTTGTTTGCTTTTGCTTCCTAAGGAGCGCAGGGATAGGTGCGAGTGGCTCTGTGTGTGTGTCAATTGCAGTGTGAGTATCTTCACAGGGCCTCTTGGATTTAGTTGCTGTGTGAGCGAGCACCTGTGGGAGGCTGTGGCCTGTCTGCTGGCAGCACACTGTGGAACCGTGCTGGCAGCTCTGGGGGAAACCAGTGTGGACTCTTGAGGGCTCCATGACTGGAGCTCTCCTCTGTTCTCACCCAGGTCACCTCACCAAGCACTTAGCAGGGTCCAAAAAGGGAAGCACCTGTTTGCTTCCTGGAAGGCCATGGTTGGGCTGTATCTCCTGATCTGGTGAAGCCAACAGATGGAGGATCCTGTCCTGCCCCATTCTGGGAGATAAGGTGCTTCTGAGGAAGTCATAAACATGGAGATGTCTGTCTCCATCTGTCTTGTCTGCCTCTTGGAGGGGAGTGGAGCTGCCAAGCACTGGTGTTGGCAGATAGTTGTAGAGAATGGGTATCGTGGCCACCCATTCTTGATGTGGCCAAGAGCAGGTGTGATAGCACCTCTGTTCATTGCTATGCCTGGTGGTTTCTCCAGCTATGCTGCTGATTGGGGGCTTGGCTTCAGTTGGCCTTTATGAGTGTCAATGGGGAGTGGGAGAGGGCCAGGATGCCCAGGAGCCTCTGCTGAGCTCCTGTCCCTGTCCATAGCTTGCAGTCCTTCTGTCCTGCTCCTTTCCTACTTAGATGGGAACTATTTGTTGTTCACATGGCTTTTGGCAAGGTTTTTTCTGCTGCTTTCTTGTCCTGTTCCTCAGCTTCCTGGAAGCCAGTCCTATAAATGGAGTGGAAATATTAACATTTTCCCTTGTTGTTCAAGTTGTTCCCAGTGCAGTGAAACTCCTTCAGATTGACAGCTTCTCACTCAGCTCTGCAGCTTCTTTGTGCAGAGGGTGGGTATTGCCACTGCTTGGCTTCTCTGAGGATGGAGAGGGGACCGAATGCTGAGGGAGCCTGCCAAGTGGTCAACAAGTGCAGAGCTAGGTCTGGCAGCAGAAACAGTGCTGACCAGCTTGGAGGCTGTGGAGGACCCTTGACTCAGCTATGAGACTGCTTCCCACTTCAAAGTGAAAACAATCCTTACAGATTCCTTTCAGTCTAACATTTTTTCTGAGCCATAAACTCCCAGGAGCTCTGCCTCTCCTTTCGCTCGGGATTGTCTGTGGTCCAGCAAGGCTGCAAGGAGGATACAGATTGGTGGGGGGATGGAGCGTGGCCCTGCTTGCCAGGAGAGCATGCAGTCAGGACATGCCCTTGCTAGTGACCCTGGGATCTCAAAGCCAGCCTGCCACCTCTAAAGCAGAGAGGTGCAGGCAGAACCATCCCAAGCAACAATGTCCCTATGACTGAAGAATTGGTGTGGTAACTGTGCTGCAGTTAAGAGTCACCACCTCTGGTTCTTCCCTGGGAGCTTAACTGTTTCTCGTTTTCAGAACTTACATCAACACTGATCGCCATACAGATTTTATAAAGGAAAACATTAGTCTTTGAAGAAAGTGGCTGATAGATGTGGGGCCTGGTCTTGGTGTGATGTGGGTCTGAAGTCTGGTGATGGCTTGGTGCCCTGGCTCCAGGCACAGCAGGTCTTGGGCTCTGGCCTATGGGCGACTGTGTCTTCTTAGTCCTTAGCTTCTCTCATGTGCTAGAGCTGAGCATAGAATGGAGTTTCTATTGCTGGCAAGGGACCATGACACATTTTATCCCAGGGAGACCCCCCCTTGTTACACAGGAAATAAAAGACAGCTGTCCCCTTGGAGCTGGCCCTGTGTAGGCTCCTGACCAAAAAGGTTCGCTTTCTGTGGTGACTGTAGTGTGTAGGTTGGTGTGGACTGGCCGTGGTCTACCTAGAGCTCATATGAACTGAGAGTGTCCAGTGGCGGGGGAGTGGAGGCTTGGTAGTATGGTCTGGAGAGTGCAGGATCTTCTGGGAGCTTGTGGGTGGGCTTGGAAGTGACCTGGACACCGACAGGGCGGCCCAAGTGCCTACGGTTTTGAGAACAACTTAAGTCTCTATAACCCTAACTTCCATGCCAGGGAGTAATTGGCATGTGACCGTGTCTAGCTCAGTTTGTGGTAATATACCTGAGTCTGTTGCTCAGGGGAGGTCCGATTTAACTGATCTCCTGGCCAAGCCTGAGGGATTGTTGGGGAGTTCACATCTGCTCTGTGGAAGCCACAGTGGGTCCTCATTTCAACCTCTTGATCTTCCCTACCTAAGCCAGGAGTCAGCAATCAGCACTGGCTGCCGAGGAGTTTCTGCTGAGAAGGCCCCTGGCCCCTCTGCCCACGCCCGCCCCTATGGGCAATAGTACCCTTTGGAGCTGTGCAGGTTTCTAGCTGGTTTGACAGGTTCTGAGGGAACCTGTGCCTGGCCCTTCCCTGCCCATCTGACTCCCGCCTGGCGGGGGATGGCGGGCAGGTGAGTCAGGTGCGCCAGTGAGTGGGGGAGCCCAGGCTCCGCACCTCCCAGTATCGGTTGGGTGTGCCCAGCCCTGCTCCCTGAGCCCTGTGTGGTGACCCTGCTTTAATGACCGGTTTAAGGCTCTTAATCCTTGATAAAATTGTATCTGTACTTTCACAAACTGCTAGTGGGTCCTGTAAGAATGGATAGTTTAGGTCAAGATGTAGCTCCCTAAGTAAAGCAGAAATGTCCCAGAGAAAGAGCCAGGGGGGTGGCTAGAGAAGCCCAAGTTCTCAGGACCAGTGCAGGGGCAGTGACTCAACTTTTCCTGGTTATTTCCTGATGTTTTGCTGAAAAAACTGGACTGATTGTCTTTACCTCTTGGTGTGAATTCTTTTGCCCCTGTTGTTTTAGGAATGTGAAAAGGAGCTTCTTAGGCTGGTTTTGTCTCTTTTGAAGTGTGTTCACTGCTTTTGAAAGCCCATCCTTCTCAGCCCTGCCAGGCAGTTGGAGAGTGAATGGCTATGGCACAGTGTAGGTGTAGGAGTAACAGATGTGTAAGATGAAAATGCAGTGGGATGGTGGCCATGATCTAGAACATTCCCTCTGACCAGGCATCAAAAGCCAGTTTGCAGTAAGGAAAAGAAAGAAAACCGCGCAATGCTGCCAGCTCTGCCTGTCACCTTCCTGTGATTTCCTCACCTGAAACTCTTCTGTAAACCAAGTGCCCGCCCCAGTGTGGCCCGCCCGTGCCAGGGGCAGCTCCTGACTCTCGCCTCCACTGCGCAAACCAAACCGGCTGGGCAGCGTGGGCTGCCTGCGAGGGGCCTGGGATTGGCTCAGCAAGATCTCTTCCTCTAGGGCAAGATTGTCCTGAAAAATCAGGAAGTGGCAAGTGTTGCTCAAAGCTATGTCTTGTTCTCGCTCAGCCTCCGGAATGGCCCTGCTTCCAGAGGGAGAGCCTTTTTCAGGAAAAGGCCAGCCTGCCTACAAGGCCCTGATCCTCTCTGGCTCAAGCTGACCTAAAAGCCTTTTAAAGTTTGGTTCTGTTGATGGCCTAGGGAAATTTAGCCAAAGGCAGGCCTTATGTTTTAATGTGATTTGTAACTTGCAAAAATATGGACAGATAATGAATTATTCTGATATTTAAAAAATGTTTAATTCAGAATGATGGACTATTTCTACTTGGGTAACAGTAGTGTATTTTGCTTTCTAGTGCTACATAATATCATAGAAATGAGGAAAACTGAGTTCGGGGGTGACCTTTGCTCTTGCTGGACCTGCAGAAAGGAGGTGCCTGAGGGCAGGTTGAGGCATGTTTTTCCCCCTTTACTCTGAGGAGAAAGAAGATCTCTGTCTGATGCAGCCGTGTCTGTATTGGGAAACCCTGGTGAAAGCAAGCAGGTGGAGACACCTGCAGTGCCTCTTGCTCAGATGGCGGCTGCCACTACTGGTTCACAGTTCGTGCTCCTCATGCCGTCTGAGGGCAAGAAGGGAGTTGTGAATCACACATAGGTTCACTCGCTAAGGATGATGGAGGCCTGTGGGGCATGGGTGCTCGGGGGAGCAATGGGTTAGGAAGGTGCTTTCCTATATTTGACCAATACCATTAAACCTGTTTGCATTTGAAACATACTAGTATTTCTAGATAAGCCAGTTTTGTTCTCAAAGTTGTTTTTAAAAATTTAGTCCAAATTGAAAGCCCAAATAAAAACCCTGTTTCGTTCATAAGTACACACATACTTGTTGACCTGACTTAGAAGCCTACAGTTAGTTAAAAGCAATGTTTTTCAAGCATCATTACATATCTCCTAGTATGTTCAGTGAAGTTTTAATAAAATCTATGGACAAAGCAGTGACTGCTTAAAGATGTTTGCTTATTCAGGAGAGGCTAGCTTGTTTAATGTGTCTGAGGCATCTCTGCCCCTGGCTGGGCTGGGTCATGCTGTGGCCCGCTGGCCCACACTTCTGCTCAGTGACAGCCTTGTGTTGGGCTCTGGTGCCCAAAGTCTGGGTCACCACGGCCTATGTTTCACACCACTCTGTCACTTGCCCCTCATGGAGGTCCGTGTTGAGGGAAAGGCTGCCTGGATCTCACCACCCTGAGGTGAGTGACTGCCTTTCCTGTGGGTGGGACTTGTGAGAGCACGCAGACCTGTCAGACTGATTGTGCAATGGATGGCCAGCAGTAAGAACTGAAGTGAGTGGGCTGGACCTCCTACAGCCATCCCCCCCCCCGGACAGTCCCCTTGAGAGGGTTTGCCACTTGGGACCCCTAGGGTTAGTGCTGAGCATAAGAGAGATGTCTGCAAGTCTGTGTCCAGCATCCCCCCACTTAAGAGGAGCCTGGGTGGGGGCCGCAAGGGTTCTGCCTGCACTATTAGGACACATGTGTAGCTGTAGAGCTGCCTGATCACCTATGAAAAGTCTTTTAGGAATAAGGGTGAAATGGGCAGTGCCCCTTCCCTGTAGCCTTGGAGAGGGGCTCTGGAGGAGAGAAATGACACACTTGCAACTGAAAACCAGCTGCACAGCCTCATCACATCAGTAATGTTCAGCTGAGGTGGCAGTGATGGGTTGGGGTGGGACTGCTTTTTTATTTTTTGGTGCAACTGGAATTTGAACTCAGGGCTTTGCGCTTGCAAAGCGGGTGCTCTACCGTCCATTTTGCTCTAGTTATTTTGGAGATGAGTTCTTGCAAACTCTTTGCCCAGGCTGGCCTGTAATGGTGATCCTTTCAATCTCAGCCTTCCAAGTAGCTAGGATTACAAGTGTGAGCACTGGCACCTGGCAAGCTTCTTATTCTGAGACAGGAGCCAAACCCATCTTGTCCTCTGACACCCCTGGCACTTGAAGAGTGGACGACTAGGTGTGTGGGAGTGTGCAGCTCCTTCCTCAGTGGCCTTGGCCACTCCAGAACCAATGCTTGATTGCAGCTGAACTGTCTGGGCAAGTGTGGCGCATCTACAGATGGGCAGCATTAGGGCAGAGCAGAAGATGCTGTCTTGGGGGATTAGCAGGGTGATTGGAATCTCCTGGTGTTTGATTGTTAGGATGGGAAATGGTTTCTTTCTTCCATTTGCTCTTCACTCACTGCTGAGTATTCCAAAGTTTGGAACAGTAACTCAGAACAAGTAAATGGATGGGAAGATCCAAAACCTCAAGAGTTAAGTGTAACCTTCCAGTATCATTGCCTGAGCCTACATTTCCCTGAGACAGATGTTGAAGGGAAGCAAAAATTCTCGGTTAATTCCTTTTCCTAGAAAACTTGACTTTGTGGATTTTAAAAAGCAAAGCCCTTATTAGGATGCAAGTGCAGTGCTTAAATCTCCATTGATTCTGAGCGTATACTTGGAATAAACACCAAATGTGTTTTGATAATGACAGCATACATGTAGCTTTGAGTTACTAGAAGATCATGTGTACACAGGTCTTGATTGACTTTGTGATGTCTAAACTTGTTCACAAAAGTAATGTGCCATGTTGGGATAGATGCAGTCTTAAAAGGTTGGATGATTCCCCTGCAGTTTAGATGAAGTTTTTTCCCTTCTTACTGTGGCTAGTTGAGCTGAGCAGAGGGCCTTTGTAAGGAAGCCTGTCCCCTTCCCCCTCTTGTTGGACCCTGTGTTTGCATCTTGAGGTAACAGCAATACCCTTCTGCTGACTCGACGCAGCCCTGGTCAGCCTGGCTGGCATCTTTGTTCTCTCACTGTTCTTAGTCTTGAACACTTTTTTACTTTCTGGCCCCACAATACCTAGCACTCATCTTCTATCCCTTGCTTGTCTCTGGACTCAGCCCTTCCCAGTGTCCTGGCTTCTCTCATTGGGGTCGGCGTTAGAAGTCCCGAATACCAGGCACCTGCTGTTCTTGGGTACCCCTTCCAAGCCTGAGTACAGAGCTCTGACCTTTTACAGATGCCACCTGGCCACCTGCTGGAGGTGGTAGCCATAGAATGTGGGGGTGGGGAGGACAGGTCTGTGGCTTCACAGCTCTGTCTCCAGGGCCTAGAATGGTGCCTGGTATGTAATTTGGAAAGTTGGGAATGGGGTAATCAGTTTCACCCTGTTGCTGTGGTCCTTGGTCCTTGGGTCTCCCACCACTCTAATCCCTGAGATTATGCCCAAGGGCTACAAGGGATAAGGGGGATAAGCAGAGAAAGCCCAGATGGCAGAACTTTTTGTGGGTGGTTCTCCCTTCCAGGGCTGGAGGAGCAGGGACTTTGTGGTTATTCAGAACAGTGAACTTGACAATCTAATGAAGGAACTTAAATGAAGCCTGCTGAGTATCTAGACAGTTGAAAAGACTCTGCTCTTCCTGCATGTGACTGTGACTTGATGTGGGGGCATTGCCTCAGGCTGTGGGCGAGGGCGAGGTAATACATTTCCATGGTAACTTGTGTATACATCTGTGCATTAGTAGGTATCTTGTTACTATAACAAATACCCGAGGCAGGCTCCTTCGTAATGAGAACGTTTATTTTGGCTCATGGTGCTGGTCCAAGGTCAAGGGGCCACGGTGGTGATGGCCTTCTTTCTGGCAGAGTCCCGAGGTAGTGCAGGCATCACATAGTGAGGGACTGAGCACACACATGCGTGTCTCCCTTTTGTAAATTGTCCAGGATTCACGTGGGCTCCACCCTGTTGACCTCATCCCATCCTTGTCTCTTTAACAAACCCCACCTCTAAACACCACAGTCATATCACTTTACCCTCTTCATGCCTCCTAATAGGGTTAAAATTCTGCTGTAAACCCATAGGGGCACTCTAACCAATAGTGCTCCCGTGCTTCTGCTGGTGAGCCACCCACAGGGAATGTGTGCAGACTTTCTTCTACATAAGCTCACGCTGCTCTGCAAGGTCTGCAAGGCATGGGTAGCTGTGTCCCTTTAGTGTTGGTCTCAGCCATGCTGCATTGTCCCCACCTAAATGCTGCCAGTGCCTGTCCTCAGGGCACCCTGTTTCTGTCTGCATTTTGTTGGGTGCCTCTCACTCCAGCAGGCCGAGGGCATTGTGCCCCTGGGTCCCTAAGACTTGGTATGCACCATCACAAGACTTTCCTTAGGGCCGGCCACCCTTAGACCCCTTGTGACATCTCAGAGGTCTGCCACAGTCCCCAGGAGCCTTGAATCTCTTGCTGTATTTGGGGCAGGCAAGCAGATCTTGAGTGAGCAATGAAAGCAAGGTGTCACTCTCATGTAGTGTGTATTACTTTGGAGATTTCCTTTGAACTAATCTTCTCCTCTCTTTCACAGTGCATTGGTCATTGCTGCAGTGTTTGACCGAGATGTGAATTGCAGAAGAGCAGCCTCTGTAAGTTCCCTTGTTGGATGTGCTCCTCCCCTGCCTGGAGGTGGGGGCCTGACTGTGGCCCCATCAGCTCCATGACACACAGCACATATTCCCTGGTGTGCACAGAGACAGCAAGAAGAACCCTAAGAGAGCTTCCATGAGCAGGGTCCCCTGGGTAGACTCGGCAGTTCATTTGCCTTGGTATTCCTGGGGAGTGCAGTCGGTTCAACACCCCCACCCCAAGCAGCCAAGAGGGAAGACTGCAGCCAGCTGTGGTGTGTGTCATTGAATAAACACAGGCAATCAGGCCACTGCCTGATGACCAGACTTAGCTTGGGCTGCCTGAGTCCTACAGAGGAGAAGAAAGTGATCCTATGACTCTTCTTGTACTGGGATGGCAAGACAAGTTCAGGGATGGTGGAATAGGTCCAGGGATAGTGGGATAGGTCATCTCCAGAGACTTTGAGCCTCTGGAGGAGCTGCTACTGAGCTGTGGTCAGCTCACCTGGCCATATTTGGGTGGCCCTCACTGGGCAGGCCGTTATACAACTGTCAGCAGGATTTGTGTTTAGAGTTCAGATGCCCAGGGCTCCTAGTGCACTCAACCTTATTGCAGTAGATTTGGACAGAGGGAACTTGAGTAGCTCTGGTCACCTGGAAGGTACTGGCTGGAGCTTCCTGCTGCACACAAATGATGGCTTCTTTCCATGTGTTCTGTGGATGGCTGGGTGGAGGGGCCACACCCTGGCCTCAGGGTAGGTGTACGGAAAGCTCAAAGAGTCAGAAGGCATCTCAGAGCTGAGAAACAGGATTGTTACCCTGCTCTGTATACTGGCTTGGGTAGGCTGAGAAGTCCCTTCTTACTATTAGTTTGTTAAGAAATTTAATTTTTCTTATATTTTAAATCACATCACAGGTTTTGAATTTTGAGATGATCATGTAATCATGCCCCTTGTTCTGTTAATGTGGTGTACCATATGGTTGGTTTTCAGATATTAAATCCATCTTGCATTCTTGGGCTGATTCCCACTTGTGGTGTAGAATCCCTTTTTTTGTGTGGATTGTTTGTCAGTGTTCTTAGAAGTAGAATTTGAGTCTATTTATAAGTGGTACTGGCCAGTAGTTGTCTGTTTTTTCCTTTCTTTTTCTTTTTTGGTAGTACTGAGGTTTGAATTCAGGGCCTCACACTTGCTAAACAGACTCTACTGTTCAAATCATGCCACCATCCCTTTCTCGCTTTAGTTATTTTTAAGTTGGGTTTTGTTTTTTTGTCCAGGGCTGGCCTTGGACTGTGGTCCTCCTTCCTGAGCCTTCTTCTGTGGCTGGAATCACAGGCTTCTGTCCCAGCATGCCCAACTGATTGATTGAGATGAGGTCTAGCTAACTTTTTGCTCCATCTGGCCTTGAACTGCATTCCCCTTATCTCCGCCTCCCTAGTAGTTGGGGTTACAGGCATGAACTACCATGTCTGGCCTCTGTTTTCTCTATGTTCACCAAGGCCCCATCACGACCCTCCTTTCCATCACCTTCATTCCTGTCTTTTCCATCATGCATCACAAGGCTGTTTGCCTTGGGCTGTTGTGCGGCTTTGCACGCTCAGGCCGGTGTACTGACTGCTGCTTTGGCCCCAGGCTTGATATAGGCGCAGCTCCATTGGTGCCCAGGAGTAAGGGCCTGCAGTGGGGGCTCTGAACCCCGTCTGTGTCACTGACTATTCCTGAGATCTCTGCTGAGAGGTCACACAGGTGGAGATGGTAGCTGAGGTTTGTCTGGCTCAGAACGCCTGCAGTCCTAGAAGAGAAACTAAGGCACTTCTGTCCTCCTACTGTGTTCTTTGTTTTCTGTAGCAGAGAAACTAAGGCACTTCTGTCCTCCTACTGTGTTCTTTGTTTTCTGTAGCATTAGTAGGAAGATAATCATTCCTTGGGAGGGCTTCAAGATTTTGCCCTGATAATTTATTTACTCAACAGGTAGTAACTGTAAGACTGAGATATAATAAAGTTTCATGTTAAATCTGTACTTAAAAAGTTAACTTTTATGTTTTCTATAAGCTAAGACATTTTTATGGGAAGCAGTAATAAAATCAAAGCCCTTACGGCTTCATACACTGTAGGAATAAGGTGAAATAGACCAGTATAAACCATTTTTTTTCTTTCTTCAAGCTAAAAGTAAAACCTTTTTAAACTGGCAGGAAATTTTTCATGTTCTGGACTGGAGGTATGCCTCGGTAGTACAGTGCTTGTCTAACTGTCAGGAGGCCTCGAGCTCAAACCCCAGTATCTCAAAAACAAAACAAAAAGCCCTCCCCAAAACACACTCAAAAACCCAAAAACAAACAAACAAACAAAACCTTCAGATTCCATCCAAGCTCAGCTCTGCTTATTTAGAATTAGGATTAAAGCATCTGCAGAACTAAATGACCGAAAGGTGAAGATCACTTGAAGGCAGAAGGGTTGACTGCCTAGTATTCAGGAGCAGTCTTCAGGTAGACTGCTCAGCCTTCTGCTGGGTGCTTTGCTCACATTTCACTCTGTGTTCGTCTATCAAGGTTGGATGTTCTCAGGACACCAGGCCTCTGCTTGTACCTGAGAGATGTCAGCAGGAAAGCGTCCTGAGTTTGCCATCTCTTCCCTGGTCTTCCTCTCCAGCTGCTCATTGTTGGCACTGTCCCCTTCCTGTGGGCACCAGCAGTGCTTGGCAGCCATGATGTTTTTTAGGTAATAGTCATAGCAGAGGCCACTGAGCTATAATTTGTGATCCTCACTGTAGCCCCTTAAGGCATGAGGCAGTGGGTTCATAGGTGAGTCTGTCATTTGTTGTTGACCTTTAGCTCAGGCAAAAAAGGCCCCAGTGTGCTAATATCCGGAAAAGGATTCTCCTCGGCTGAGAACGGTGGGCTGTGAGATGGGGCCACTCGGTTCTTGTGAGAGGTTCAGAACAAGAAATGGAGAGGACACAGGGAGAGGCCCCTTCACCAACAGTCATGAAACTAAGGTGCTGAAGCCTCAGTTTAACCAAAAGTTTGCATCCAGCATTTAATTTGATTTTTAGTGCCTAAATTCTTGTAGTAGTGTTTTTCTGCTTTTTATTTTGAGATAATTGAGATTCACATGAAATTATAAGAAATAACACAGTGAGCTCATGTACCAGTTCCACTCTCCCATGGTGAAGTATTGCCAAACTACTGTGTAATGTCACAGACTGGAAGTGGATCCTTACAAAACCACTGGTGTTATCCCAGGCTCCTTGTCCTGTGAGTGTATAGTTCTGTGTGGCTCCATCATACACACATCTTTGGATCCCCCATGGTCAAGGTGCATGGTGGTACATCACCACAGGAGTCCTTGCATTGTCCTTTAGCTAGGGCCACCTCTGTCCTGACTTGCTGTCATTTCAAGAGTTATTTATTTAGATGGAATCCACAATGAGTGAGCTTTTAGGACAGGCAGTTTCACTGAGCACAGGTCTGTGGAAACTCATCTGTCTGTTGTGTTGGGGGTTAGTGGCTATTGCTCTCACTTGGGTCTGTGTCCTGGCCACGCCATTGTTCAGCCACACATCTGTGAGAGGAAATCTGGGTGCTGCTTGATTGGGCCTATGAAGAACTGAGCTACTGTGAACATTCCTGAACTGGTTCTTGTGAGTGTAGTTTCTCTTTCTCTGTGGAAAATGCCAAAAGCACAGGTGCTGGATCCTTTCCTAATAATCTGCCAGCTGTTTCCCAGAGCAGCTGCACTGCAGCACATTCCTATTTATGTGCGTGGTCCTGACTCTTCCTGTCCTTGCACCATGGGGCATGGCACTGTGCTAGTCCTGCTGCTGAGTAGTGGTGGTGCTTGTGTGTCTCTGATGATCTCAAACCTCTCTGGGTGCTTATTTGCCATCTGCATGACCTCAGGTCATATGTGCATTCCAATCTTGGTTTAATTGGATTTTTTTTTTTTGTTGGCACTGGGATTTGAATTCAGGGCCTCATGCTTTCTAGGTAGGCACTCTTACTGCTTGAGCCACTCTGCCGCCCTGATTGGATTGTTTTCAATGTTGACTTTTTCTTTTTTTTTTTTTTTT